CTGAACCCGGAACCCTGAACCCTGAACCCTAAACCTAAAACCTAAAACCTAAAACCTAAAACCTAAAACCTGAGACTAAAATTTTTCTATTTTTTTTTTTTTTTTAAACCATTGTTTTCTATAAAAAATTTTATATATTTTAAATCTAATAAAAATTTAAATAAAAAGTATACAATAAATTTTTTATTTATTAATCTACCCAGTGAAAACTAAATTTCACTCAAAAAACTAAAAAAAAATTAAAAAAAATTATTTTTTCTTGTACTTTTGTATGTATATTTTAATATACATATCTTATTATACGTATATTTAGATAATTATTTTCTTATACACATTTTTATATACTTGATAATTATTTTTGAATATTCCCCATGAACTAACAAATACATAATCATAATCCTTTTCACTGTCAACATTCAAAAAGATAATTGATATTCTTTTTACTTAACTTTTAATCGTTTTGATCTTTCCTTTTTTTCAAGTGGATTATTTTATCCCCTACTTTTTTTAATTTACACTTTTCTTCATAGCTTGCTTATATAGTTAGTTTTATTAGGAATTTTTTACATTTTTATTAATGTTAAGTAATTATTAACTTTAATTCATTAAATTTAAATTACTGAAACATCTAAAAAATCGTCTTTCTATACAGTAAATTAGATGATTCCATGTAAAATTTGCCTCCCATATAAATTTCTGTTTATTCTCGAATGTACATGATCCATCCGTAGTAATGATGCTTAATTTATCATCAATTTTTTGATTAATTTGGATTACCTTTATATAAGCTTCTTTTGTAATAAATGACCACATATCATTTATTTTACTATCACTTATTCCATAAAAATTTGCACGCATATTCAGTTCATCCAATAATGATGAAAGTGTGTCATTTAATTTTCTTTCTTTTTGTAAACGCATATCATTCCACAATGACATAAGTTCTGCTGAACTTACACTTCCAAATGAAGTTGAATTGCTTGAATTATCACCATTAAATCCAGGAACTTCTTCAAAACGCTCATCATTTTCCTGAGCATTTAATTCAGCTAATTTCCTAGAAAAAATATGCTTGAATTGAAACTCTAAACATATCATATTTAGGTGATTATGACTATCCTACATAAATATTAAAAAATTAAAAGCTTAAAAAAATATAATAGTGTTGTTTGAATCTTAATTAATATAAATAGTTAAATAACATATTTACTTTATAATTTTATCTTACATGAAGAAAAAGAAAAAGTAAAAAAAGGAAAGATACGCTAAAAATTCTTGAAAGAATAAAGTTATGGTACTTTATTTCCTTAATAGTATATCCTCTTTTTTGGAATGAATTTATAGAATAGTTTTGCATTGCAATATTTTAATCAATTATTAGTCTTCTTTGTAAAACATTGATATCCTTCTATATTATATATATAATTATTTTACCACTAAAATAAAAAATAAATTCTCTTTGAAAATACTTCTGATGTATTTTTTGGTGTAATTTAATAATATAGTTGTTTTAATAGGTAAATGATATTTTTTCTTAAAATAAAATTAAAAAAATTACTTGATATTATGATAAGATGAAAAACATAAAAACAATGTTTATGTATAAATATTACATGCAAATAGATGTTTTTTTTAGTTATCATTTCTTAAAAAGCACTATACCAATTAAAATTATTTAAACCAAAAACTCATATTCTTATAAAAAATATAAATTCTATATAGCTCTATTTATTTTGTTTTTTTCTTTATTTTATATATGTATATTGTTTTTTAGAAAAACTGATAGAAAAGATTAATTTTTTTATGTGCATATGAAAAATGAAAAAATATTTTTAAAGTTGAAAGAATTATTATTTTTAATAAATTAAAAAATTATATGCTTAGAACAATTATTTAAAATAACCAAGAAAAAAATTTTGTATTATTTAATAAAACTTCTTTTGCAATTATACAAATAAATATTTTAATTTTAAATTCAATAATGGTATGTATTATTACTTTAAAAGAGTTAATGATTTTCAATGTTAATTCATTATTTAAATTAAAATTTTGCATTAAATTGCATGACTACAAAAAATACAAAAAGCATACTTTATAAATTCCTTTTTATATTAATGAATTTTTCTTATTCTTATATTATTATTTAAAATTTTCTATCTTAAAATATTAATTCATTAATATATTTAATAATAGATTTTTTGATATGAATATTTTTTTTTAAATTGTTCTTAATTCTTTAACATTTTATATGCATATTTTTCAATTGAAGTGTGTTGAAGATTCCCACTTTTTCTGTTATTCAACTATTCATTAAGAAGTGTTCAATTTTAACAAATTCAATATACATTTTTGATTATTATTATTTCAATGATTTATACTCAAACTTAAGTAAATAAAAAGATAAATGAATGTTAAAAACTTAGTTAATGCATGAAACACACAAGTTAATTATATTACAAAAAAAGAAGAAAATGGCCACATATAAAAATGATTTAAGGAAGCATAGCATTTAACAATATTTAAGGAATAACATATTGTGATTATTTTTTCTTTTTTTTTTTCTAATTAATTATTACATGTGATGAAATTTCAGTAAAAATATTAACTTTATATAGATTATGTAAAATAATATAATTTTTCCAATAATAACAATATTTTTATGAATAATTCAACTTTATATACTTGTATTAAAATTTGACTTATTAACTGAACGTTCAACATCTTCGGTAGAGCCTTAAGCAAATCTATAAATAGTATGAAAGTCGTCTTCTATTAATTTTATTTATTTTAAAAATGTATTTCCTTTATAATAAATGAACTTTAAATATATGTTTTGCGCATTATCTTGTTGAAATCATTTATTTTTTTTAATAAAGTTTCTTGTTTTAATTAAAACATAAATATTCGCTGCGAAAACCTCTGATTATATATAAAATAATATTTTTTAAATAAAATAACATTTCATATTAGAACAATTTACATTTTATTTAATAATACATAAAAATTAAGTACCAGCAATGACTTTCCTTTTCCATAAAGTTTGAATTCAATTTTTTTGTTTCAAGTTAATTCAGAAGATAATATTTTAATTTTTCCAAAAGAAGAGTTATTTTTTTATGCTAAATTTAATAATATAATTAATAAAAATAATTTATTAAAGAAAAAAGAAAACTTTTTTTTTTTGGTTGATTATACATTTTCTTAGTCATTAACTTGTTAATTTATCATTCATTTACAATTATAGTATTGAACAAAAACATTAATAAAAAGCGTATAGAGAGGCCTATACTTAACTTTTATTATGAAATAAAATTATTAATATTTTATAAATCATATTTAATATATGCCCAATAAATTATTTATTACTTAACCTAATATACGCTATAATATATAATCGTAATGCCTCATTTTACATATTTAAAATTATAAGCACCATGAAAAAAAATTATCTTTTTTTTTAAATTAATGCATACACAAAGAAAAATATAAAATTTCCTTTTTTTATTATTTAATTTTGGTACAAAAAAATATATATAATTTTTCTTTATTTGTTGTACATACTTTTAATGTACATATTCAAATGTACATATTTTTACTAACACATTAATTTATTAATTGTCTACCATATAGCTTTTCTAATAATTGACAAGCGGATTAACGAAGAGATTGTAGAAAAAGCTCTATTTGTTTTATTTAAAATGTAATTAATTAAATAAATTATTTATTTTCGTTAATATTTAATGATAACATTATTAGTTATTTAAGATAATTTACATAATACACAATAAATGTAATATTTAAAGTTATTCTTTACATCATTCATAAAAAAAAATTTATATACTTTCTTTATTCTAAAAATAAAAAAATTAATTGTCACTATCTTATTTTATTAGGAATTTTTTAAGTCAGCTTCATAAATCCCCAAGAAAATGAATTAAATATATATTTTTATTTATGTAAACTCTTAATTCGTTTTCCTTATATCATCTGTACCTTTTTTGCAAGTATTTTTAATGCAAAAATTTATATGTGTACATTTTCTGACCTTTCTTAGTATGTTCAAGTAAAAACATTTTTATTTATTTTATTTATTGAACATTAATTAAAATTAGTTTAAACTAAATTTATTAACTATACTCCATCACCATAGGAAAAATGATAATGTTATTTTTTTTTATATAACTTTGCAATTTCAAAGCCTTTATGAATATCTTTATTTATTTTATTATTTCTATTATCATTCAATTCATGGTGTTACAATTTATCTTCCATAAATATCATGATAGTTTTTAGCTTCTTATAATTTTTTAGTGTTGTTACCTAATAGTTTAATCTTAATGGAATTTGAACTTTTTTACCTCTATAGTATGCAGGCACTGATTTTAATTTTCACTTTTCAATTTTAGTTACTTTACATAAAAAACTCTAATAGGTTGTATTACTTATTACCATCATAATGCTTCAATTGATTCCATTTATAACTATGAAATAATACTACCAATATTAATATCTTTAACTGCTATCAGTCATTTCTTTTTCAATCTACCTAAATCTTTATGTTCTTGTCTTCGTCTATCTTTTAAATAAATTATTCTCATTTCTGAGATATTTTCTGATAATAAGGTTGAAAAATTAGAACATAAAGTCTATTCAGAATTTAATAAAATATGATGTTTATTCTAAATTCGGAAAATGTCTATTATTATATAACAATACAGAATTTTTTACTATTTTATCAATACCTATCTTATTTTTCATATATAGTCTTAAGTATATAATAAAAACTTGTCAAAACATTAATTAATATTGCTCTCTTCTTAATAGTGAATACTAATGTGGTATAGCTTTATTTGTAATTCTTCTATTACTGATTTATTAATTTTGTCAACAACTTTAATAGTATTAAGGAAATTAATAAAGAGCGTATTGGGAAGAACTCTGTTTTTCTTTTATTTTAATTAAAATAAAATACTAAGTAAATTACATGTATTTACTAATTATTATTATTAACTACATAGTTAACGTTTTAATTAATTCACACAATAACTTATGTAAATTATATTTAGAATTAACTTTTTTAGTATTTCATTAAAAAAATATTCTCCATCATTGTTATTCTAATTTCAAAAAAAAATAATAATAAAAATTATTATTATTTAAATTATTTTTTTTTTTTTTTAGTGATAATTACAAAAATAAAAATTTTTTTGTGTATGATTGTAGGTACAAAAAAAAAAAATTTAATAAAATATATCAATATTTTTTTTTTTCTAGTATACGCTTTCTTGTGTTCATATTTTCCCTCTACATTAAAATGCATATATATAAATGTTTTTAATCATTTTACTTATTTAAATATCATTTAAAATAGACACATAATACTATTAATAGGACAATAGCATATTTTTAAATTCTTGAAGAAATAAGAAAAAATGAATAATCTATTGAGTTATAAAAAAATGAAAATAGTATAGGACTCTGTGTAAACGTTAAACAAATAGTTGAAATAAATAGAAGAAAAGTACACGTTTAATTAGATACCTGAGATGAGTTATGTGTCATATTGGATAATAAAGGGCTTTATTCAACTTTTTGGATATAAAAAGGACTAGTTATATGAAGAATACGTAGTTGGTCATGCATACAAAAATAAAAAAAATATGATCAATTTTTTTTTTAAGAAGAAAAAAAAAAGAACGTCAAGAAAAAAATTGGTTAAAAAAATCAATTGGAAAAAGATTTTCTACCAATGAGAATAAGATAAAAAACAAAAATACAAAGGATATTTTACATATAAATACATTTTAATTTTTCTTAGTAGTTTTAATATTAATTTTTTTTATAAGAGAAAATTTTATATATACAAATTAAAATTTCTACGTTATTAATGTTCATATAATTAATTTTGTATTTTTACTAATGGTTTATGTTTTATTAATTCAACAGCAATATATTTAAATTGCTGGACTTAAATCATAACAAAGAAATAAGTAATATACATTTAATTAATAATCAATATTCAATAAGGATATAAATTTTTAATAAAAATAAAGATTTTTATTAATATAAATAAATGTCTATTGAAATTAAAGGATGCTGAACAACGTAGATCACATTATTAAGAATCACTCGTTCAAAGCATTTAAAAATATATATAAATACATCTTAAAATAGTAAGGGAAACTCTACTTGCTCTTTATTAATTTGCTTTTTCAGTACTTTAGCAAAGTTACGGAACACCCAATTAATAAAACACATATCAAATTTATCTGCAAAAAAAATTGGAATAAAATTTGATTTAGGAGATATAAGAATTAATGTTTGTGGATTATCCTATGGAAAGAAGGTATATATATCTAGAAAAGTTGTAATTAGTATAAAATCTATAAATAAGTAGGCTACAATAATATTTGATATGATAAATACAGAAGAATAACTCATTTTAATTATTGTTATAGTCATGGATCAGTTAGAATATTCCATTATAAAGAATAGTGGCTCTTATATAAATATAATGAAAGTTTAGAAAGATGAGAAAATTAATCCATATAATATCAATCAAGCAATAACTCAAAATTTTATTACCAAGACCATTTTAGAGTCTCAAGAAGGTAATGATAAATTAAGAAACTCTTGCAACATAATTCATTACATTGAGAAGACAATGTAAGTATCAGATATATATAAAACATCCTATCAAATTCAAGAAAAATCTCGGAAATGTAATCCCAGACCTTTGAGAAAGAAGTTGATGATTGAATTTCATAAGAAAATTGATAAAATGGTAGGTAAATGTTATAAATAGGGTTGATAGTGTAAAATGAATTTCACCTATGGCATTAATTCTTAAAAAGTATGGGGGATTGAGAATTACTATTGATTATTGGTATTTAAATAAATATGTAATAGATGATTTATATATCATATCTCATATAAAAAATGTACTTCAGACATCTTGTTGTACTAAATAGCTTTTGAAAATAAATTATAAAAATGGATTTTAAAGCACATCATTATATGAAAATAGCAGACAGTGCTCTGGGTTTATAGTATGCAAACGTAAATATTTTGTATTTAATATATTAACATTTTACTTGAAAACTAATCCTATATAGTTCCAAATAATAGTAGAAAATATATTTATGGACTTAATTAGAGAAAATTATGTGATTGTATATGTTGATTACATCATTATTTTAACAAAATTTGTGGATGAACATTTTAAAAAAATTAGGAAAAGTATATAGGTTACTTATTAATATAGTTTATAAATAAATAAAGACAAATGTGAATATTTTCTGACATACATATATAAAATATTTAGGATAGATAGTTGATCACAACGGAGTTATACTTTTAGTGATGATTTATTAAATTGCTATTCAATGACTTTGCTAGAGTATTAAACAAACAGATTAATAAAGAGAATTTAGAGTCACTACTACTAATTTAATAAATCTTATTATTAATTAAACTATATAAACCAACAAAATGTTTTATATATATATTGTCTACTTCATTAAGCATTTATTGTTTTTAAGAGACATCTATTTACTATAATGAAAATCTCTCTTTTTATTGAAAATTTAAATCCCCATTAATTGTTGATTTTAATTATATATATTTTATTTATAATGTTATTAATAGTAATTACTAATTCAAATTAATTTCTCTGAAATTAACAAACATAAATAATTAACAAAAGACAAAATAAATTATAAAAATGCTACAAAACACGAAAATTTCATTATTGTTGGTATAAAATTTTTTTATGTAAATTTAAACAAAATATACTACAAAAAATTTTTTAGTCAACAACTCCTCTTTTGAATTAACTATTTAATTTATTTAAAAAAAAAAAAAAAATAATTTTTAATGTGTTTTTAATTTACTAAAGGAAATCTCAAAAAATTAACAATTAATTTTTTTTTTTTTTTTTCCTAATGCATATTTGCCTAAGTATTTATTTTCCATACAGCTATTACTTTTTATTTTTAAAAGGGTTAATAATACCTTTTATTAAATAAATGGATAAATTCAAAACGATTATTGAAGTAGAACGACCCCAATTCAGAAAACAGTTGGGGTCATTTTTAAATGATTCAAATTATTATAGAAATTATATTAAAAAATTTTCCGAATGGACATCTAAACTGTTTTCATTAGTAACAAAAAGATAAAATCTCATTTGGAATGAAAATATTCTCAGGTTCTTGAATAAATAAATGGAAAATTGACAAAAATAATATATTTGCCTCCTGATCCAGTAAAATTATATGTTATTTATACTAGCACATTGATTATACTATAGTAGCATTTTTAACTCATATAGATTATATAGATCAATTTAAATATATTCACTATACATCAATAAAAATGAATGATGTTCAATGGTAATAGAGTGCAATAAAAAAAGAATTACTGTCAATAATAATAGTTTGTGAAACATTTTATTATTGTATTAAAGGATCTAATTAATTCATTAAAACTTATTATATAGGTCTCATAGGAATATATTCTATTAACAGTAGAATATTATATAGATGGAAATTAATGATATGAGAATTTAATTCGGAATTTGAACACAATGAGGGAATTTAAAACAGTCTAGCTGATTGTATAACTAGTTTAATAAATGGTCATACTGGTATTGGTATCTATATGACTTTATTTTTTAATAAACCACTAGAGAAACATAAAAATTTTTATGTTTTTCCATCTTATTAAGAAATAGATTATGCAGTCCGAGAAGAAAAGAATAATATTCTAAAAGCTTAAATATAGAAAAATTACTTTTTTATTCATTACATAACAGGATAGTTATATGTATCATAAATATATAGGATTCATTTGATTCAATCGTTTCATATTTGTGAGTTCTTAGAACATATTAAAGTCAATAAAACTTTAATGAAATTGCCGAGACATTTTTGGTGAACTAATATTGGTCGAGATATTAAGGAATATGTTACAAATTTTTTAATTTGTCATCCAATGAGTAATAGAAATTTTAAATTTATTAATGATAAGACATCATCTATTCGTAATCCATGTGATATGGTTTCATTAGAAATTATAAGATCAAAAACATGGAATGAAGAAAATACCATATTAATACGCCTATATGTCATTATTAAAGGTTTATGCTATCCACTGTTATTAGAAGAGCATCCATTGCTATTGATATAATTTTTATGACGAGATGTTTGATTTTTATATTTGGACATCCCATATATATTATTACTTATCGGGCTTTTATTTACATAAGTCAATAATTTAAAAAATACGTTACTGAAAAATTACAAATAAAATTGTGCCAAAGAAGTTCTTATTATTTCAAGGGAATAATACTTATGAAAGCCTTCATAAGAGTCGAGATTATAGAATTAAGACTATACATAAGGAAAAAGATATATCTTTTAAAGAAATGCTGAGAAATGTAATATTGATATATACTAATGCATCGAAGAGGGATCTAGGAAAAATAACATATTCTTCTTTGAACTGAACGGATTGTATATGTTTTTGTTTTTCAAGATTATTATCTGAAAATATTTGAGAAATGAAAAAAACTTATTTAAACAATAAATGAATATGCGTGAAGACTTATATATATTAAAGAATAAGCCATTAGTAGCAACTAAAGATATAAATTTTGGTGATATTATGTTAAAGAGTTACAAAACTGTCAAATGAACTTATATTAACATTATAGTGACAAAAATCTGTATAAACCTTATCTGTATTTACCATATAAAATAATTAAAATAGAAAATGAGAGATTAATGGATATGCATATATACTATAATGTAAAGAGACTCAAATTTTACTTCATAAAACTAAACTATTAGTTAATAAATCTAAAGAAATATATAAGGTTCAATTAAGAAATTTGTTACAAGTTATTGATAATAATAAGAAAAAGCCTAAACTTATGAATGAATTAGAACTTAAAAACTATTCTGATATTTATAAATGATATATTACAATATCATATGAATTAAATGATAATGGAAACAATATGATAAATGAGAAAATACAAAAAGGACTCGAAATTGTGGGAGAATTCAGATACAATAAAATAAAGTAATGTCATTATTTTTCTTAAGGTGATGGAATATTGTGTACATAAATATTATAGGCTCCATTTGTATAATATTTGGATGAATAAATAGAATAAAAACATTTTATTTTGTGCATAATAAGTTTTGGGGAAAATGTGACATCATAAACTCGTACAACAGAGTAATCGTTCAAGTACATGAATTAAGAATAAAAAATATATACTGGTACTAAAATTGAGTACACTAAAAAAAAATAAATAAATAATAATAATAATTTTTTTTTTGGATTATGACACGCACATAAAAAAAAAAGTTTTCTAGGATAATATTTTTTTTATTACTTTCTTTTTTTTATTTATATACACATTTATTATTGCACATTATATGCACGATATAATATACACAAAATAAAATATTTTTATTATATTTATTCATCTAAATATTGTGTAAAAGAGGTATGTAGTATTATTTATAGACTATGTACGTACTTTATATGCTTATTTTTTTTTTTGATTTAATAATGAATAACCAATTATAAAAAGAATAAATTTTATCTAGAAAAGATTAACCCTGATTAAGGATATATGTGTATTATATTTTGGATACTTGTAATAATATATTTAAGCTTTAACAAAATTACATAATGATTTTTATTAAACAATATTGACGCTCTTAAAAAATTTCAAAGAACTTATAATAATAAACTATTTATTTAACATATAATTGATTAAGGATTTTTAATATAAAGCAAATTATTTGTTATTGTTATATAATTAAATTAGGGTCATGTATTATATACAATATATATTTTTATAATAAATAAAATAGTATAAGTTACCCTACGTCCTACATATTAACTTCACTGTATAGTGTATTTCATATGTAATTAAATATCAAATTGATAAATCAAAAACAGAATGAAAATAAACATGAATATTTTAAAAGTAATTATAATAATGTAATTTTTTTTTTTATTTTTAAATACTATTTTTTTCAACTTAAATCTCTAAACATAAGTATATTTATATTTTTTTTCGTAACTACTATGAAAGTTCAGAATGTCATACAGAAAAAATAATATAACATTTTTGTTCAATAATATTTCTTTTTTAGAACTGAAATAAAGTTTTTCTGATTTATTCAACTCATTATTTAACGAATATATTAAGAATCTAAAGAAGGTAAACTTACGTATTTCCTTCTCCATGTCCAATAGTGCTAAAGGTAAATCCATACAGCAACACGTAACATCATTAATAAAATTACTTCTTTCATAAATTTCAGCATACTTTAATATTAAGTTTTGAGAATTTCTTTTTGGAACAAATAAAACTTTTTCATTTATTTTTCCATGGGAACCTACAAATTTTTTTTTACCTAACCTTTTATTTTTTGATTCATTTTTAAGTAATTCTATAAAATTTGCATACTCATTAATTTGTCTCTTACATGATAATGAGAATACAATAAGTTCAAATATATTTTCGATACTTTTTATATCAACTGATCCATAAAGCTTGCTTACTAATGATCTAATACCCGTACTATTCACATCGAAACCAAACATATCTTTTATATAGATTTTAAATTCAGCTATGGATTCTTTTATCTCTTCCTTTTCATGTAAAAATAAATCATTTATTTTATTTAAAATCTTATCTTGAAATAACTTCTCATTATATTTTTCTTTAATTTTATCTAATTTAAACTTATTTTTCGAAAGGTTCATTTCAAGTATGTAAGCAATAAATGATATTATACATTTTATGTCCCCATTTAAAATTTTATTTAGTACCATAAATAATTTATGTGTTTTTACTTCAATTGTATGATCTAATTCTCTATTTATATTATTAATTAAGTTATGAAATTCATCAACATTTTTTTTTATAGAAATAACTGTAGTAGATCCTTTTTTATTAAATAAAAATATGGAATTAGTAAATTCATTAAAAATCTTTACCATTTCATTTCTATAGTTATCATAGATATCAGACTTATCTCCATAAATATAATTAAGAGGAAACTTATTTATATATAAATTATAATATTCAAAAATATAACCTTCGTAATTAAAAACATTATTACTAAGTAATGAAAAAAATTTGTCATTCTTTTCATTCAACTTTCTAAAATATTCAAAGGAATTTTCTAAACTTAAAGGAATCTCTGAATTAAATTTTAGCTGTTCTAAGTATTCATGCGCATTTTGATCATCAATTACTAGATTTATGCTATTTCCACTGCGCCATACGTGTAATTCAACGTCATTAAATATAAGCAATTCGGATTTATCATAAGAGTTGAGTCCCTGAAATACCATATTTACATGATCTTTTGCATCATCAACTAAGTTTTTTAAAAAATTTAACACTTCATAGGTGGTAGCATCCAACGTGTTATATATAGATCTAATAATCTCTTTATCTTTTTCTAGGTACTTGTAATAATTTTTAAAAAATATATTATCTATTAATTTTACAAATAAATTTCTTGAATCTCCAAAATAGCCTTCAGACAATGTGTTTTCATAATTTGATTCTCTTCTGTTGTATAATAATTGTAGATCTTTCATTGAAATACCTGAAGAATTTTTAATATCTTCATCTTTAAAATCATACAATTCCGCTAAATTTCTTACTAATTGTATTTCTATATGTCTTATAAATTTGAGTTTATATCTGATAAAATATAATAAAAAATTATTAAATTTATTATGAACATGTAATATTTCTTTTTTAAAAATGAAAAAATTAAATACTTCTTTGAGTTATAATATAGATCAATGCAACAAAAGTAAATACATACTACTATTGTGATCTATAAAAAATTAAAAAAAAAAAAATAATATAATAATAGGTTTTTTTTTTATTTATTCTAAATAATATTACCAAAAAATAAAAATGATATAGTAAAAATAAATGAATTTTCATTTGAAATTTGTATAAATATTTATATTTTTAAAAGATATTTAAAAATAAAGAATTATCTATAATGAAATTTTATTTCGGATTCCTAATTGTACACTAACGAAAATTTTTATTTAGATTTTCTATAAAAAATTGTGTGAATCTGCTCATTACTTAAAATAAAGCATTTTTTTATTTATATTAAAATAGTAACTATTTTATGATTCTCCTAATTTTTGTTAGTTCCTATTTAATTAATACGCATATTTTATATCTTAAAAGCATAAAATTCATTTAATTATAATTTCATATAATCACAAAATACATAAATTTCTTTTTATATCTAAAGGTTAATTATAATACATATATATATTTTTTTTTCTGGTTAACTACATTTAATAAGAATTAAGAAATAGTTATTAAAACTTTTAAATTTATGATTTTTTAGTTTAATTTTTCCATTTCAATGAATATATGAGTTTTATAAGAATAAAACAGTAAATTTTAAATCTTTAAAAAATATGTTCTAATAAAAAACAAACAAAGTTTAATATTTTAGCATGCTTTAAATGTCAATAATGTACTTATTACTTATTCTAAATCTAAATATGTTAAAATTCTAATTTGTTTTAATTTTTAAAATTTTTTTTTGAAGATCATAGTTTAGTGTTGTATAAATATCTCAAATTGTATAAGAAGAACAGTAAAAATGTGATTAATGTAAACTGTTTTTACTATTTTAATATGTTTTATTTAGAAAATTTTAAACTTTTCTTATAATAAAATTTAATATTTTTATGAACAAAATAAACTAAAATATGTATATTATTTTAAAAAAAATATTTAAATAAATATAATATATCTTTAATGAAGTCAGCTTTCAATCATAGTTTCTTTTAGAATGATTTTAGCAAAAAATTGCTTTTAAAAAGTTTAGGCAAGATTATATGTTATGTAAAATAGATATGAAAATTAAAATAAATATATAAATGCTTTCTAATTATATTTTATTAAATATAACATGTTTTCATGCGGGGTTTGAATTCAATTTTATTAAAAAAAAAAATATAATTATACAGGATGTTTCATTTAATCTTCTTATTAACGTCATTATTTAATTTTTATTTTGTCGCAATATTTTACTATTAAATAATTTATATAATAATTTATATTCATTTAAATATATATACATTTGAAATTTTATATTATTTTAGCCTTATTCATTGTTTTTAATTTTTATGTAAAATGAGTTTAAAAAAAAAATTTTTATTTTATCTTATTAATTATAATGTTTTAATCACATAATAAATTATTTATTAATTAGTTTTTTTAATATTTTTATAATAAATAATCAGAATCACATAGAGAAAGCAAACAAATATCTGCTTATTTAATTTTCTAAATATTAGCTAATACAGAAAATTATATATACTCCTTAAATAATTACATAAAATAACAAAAAAAAACAATTTATTTTATATTAAATATGTCATGGTATATAATTTTTTATAAATTAATCATTTAATATCAATTTAATAGTTATCCCAGCTGTATTACAAAAACACTAAAAGAAAATTATATACTATCATAAAAAAAATTATATTTAAAATTCTTTTATTTTTTAGTATAATTTAATTATACATGTTGCAGCGTTCTCATCCTACTGTTCGAATTTTTTTATACTAATTAAATAATAATTATTTTAATGCTCTTATTTTTCTCAAATACTTTAAATACGCAAGTAAATATATAATACATTCTCTTTCATTTTATTATAAATTTAATATACCTATAAGACTATTTATTAACCATACTCTATAATCTTGAGAAAAGTAATGGTATTACCTTTTTTTTTGTACTTTAACTTTCTTTATAGTATCATATTTTTTGTTATTCATTCATTTAATTGCTATTTTTAATATTAATCATGTTATAAAATAAAATAAAAATTCTTTTTCAGATATAGAAATAATTTTTTCATTTTAATTCATACATAAAATTTGGAATTGTTTCTTTATTTTCATCTGTGACTTTTATTAGACTCGTTAATTGTATTTTATATATTTCACATGTTTTATTTTTTAATAATTCGGTTCTTTAATTAGAATTTATATTTTTTTATTTCCATAATATATATGTATTGCTTTTGATTTTCTATTTTCAATTTTGTTTAGTTCATATGAAAAGAACCTATACATTGATATCAGATATTTGTACTATAATATCTCATGTAATTTCTCTCATATTTTGTCAATTGAAATGAATTAATATTTCTAACATCAATAACCTTTTTTGTAACTAGTAGATTTTCCTTGATTTTATTTAATTCTTTACATAATTGTTTCCATCATTGAACTTAATGGATCCCATTACAGGTATAGTTTTAGACTATAATTTTATAAAAGAAGGTAATAAAAAATCAACTGCAAACATAATAAAATACGATGTTTTTCACGTGTGACATGAGGGACATTATTACTAATTAAATCTATATTTTGAAATATTTATTTAAAGGGTATATATTTTTCTTCACACAATGTTTTCCATATAGAATAACAATTTATATGAAAGTCTTCCTTGATATTACTTCATTAAGTATAAACATTAGAATGATATAATTATATTTGTAATTATTTAGTAATATAAACTTGAAATTCCTTATTAGTTTAAATTAATATACGACATAAAAGAATATTTTATGAAAATATTATTTTTAAATTAAACATTCAAAGACTTTTTGATGCTTTGTATAGTCAAGTTAGTAATGAACAAGTAGGGAGGCCTCTTTGTATTATATTTATCAAAATATTAATTATGTTACAAATATTTATCAATTTTTCGTAATTTAAATTATTTAATATAACGAAAATGAAATTTTCCTTTTAAGTAAAAGTTGCCATATTTGCATGACTTTATAACAATTTATCTCATAATATTAACTTTATTATTTTAAACTTGAGTCGTCATATGAACTATTCAAATGATATTACATAAGAATTATGAAATTTCATTATGGCTTATGTTATACATTATAAAAGAAGCATATTATTATTTTGTTAAAAAACAAAAATTAAAAGAAAATATATTTTTTTAAAAAATAACAAAAAAAAATAATAAAAAATTATCATGAACATAATAATTTATTAAATGCCTGTTCAATGATTTTGCTAGCATAAAAACAATTATAAAAGAGCATGCAGAATAAACTCTACTTGATTTAATTTTAATTTAATTGAGATTTAAATTTAAAATTTTCATTTTTATTAACCAATACCAAATACTAATTAGTTAATTGTTTTTTTTTAAGTTAATTTACGGGAGACTCTAAAATTCGATTTCTTTAATATTACAATTTAACTTAAATATACATTCCATAGTAATTTACATACATCCTCTCAAAAAAAAAAAAAAAAATTAATTTTTTCCTTTATGATTAAATTTTTTTTTTTTAATAATAAAAAAAAAGAAAATGATAAAAAAATATTATCATAAATCATTTACGTTAGCGTTATATGCAAAAAAAAAATATATATTTTTTTTCTTAAATTATAGATGCACACACAAAAAAAAAATTATTATTTATTTATATTTTTTTTTGTTTTATTGTTCTTACTTTTAATTGTGGTATATATATAAATTTTTTTTTTAGTATACATGCTTTTTGAGTAACTATTTTAGTGTTCTCATTTATGATTACACATTGTCCCTGTGATTCAGCATGCACAAGATAAAATGTTTTTATTCTATTTATTCATCTAAATACTATAAAAAAGATATCAGTAATATTATTTAAGGATTAAATACCAAAACACACAATATAATTTACGTATTTTTGGTGAGTATGTTATTTAAAATTCCTATGCTATATTTAGTTATTTTATTATGCATATTTTTTCTGGATATGATAAAAAAAAATAAAATTTTATCTATTGAATAATAACTAATATTGCAACTAAAAATAGTTCTATAATGTTACTCATTGAATGATGTCCTAAAATAGAAATCTAGGTACTTTATGATGAAAATTTGCATCTGTAACCTTAGAAATTTTTTTATCTATATTAGCTAAATATAACATAATTAATGACATATTACTCTTTGAATAATATATTTCTCTTCCATCTATTTTAAGGTTTTACAATACCTGGTGGAGCTAAATCGAATGCATTATGTTTTCATAATGTTTGATTCTTATTGTTTTTAGGTTTCCCATTATATTTTAGATTTCAAATTAAACTATTTATAGAGTGATCTTCATTTAACTATTAGTATAAGCCAATTTATAATACTTTTGAGTTTTCTAAATGTTTTATTACTTCTTCATTATGTTCTAATATTTCTACTATAAAAAAAGTATATTAAATAATTACTATTTTTATCCTGTTTATATAATATTACCGTTTCATAAGGAACAGATAAATTAATTTTTCAAACTACATTTCCTAGTATATTATTTTTATCTTCTCATGTAATATCACCAGTTTTTTGATATGTTAAATAAATAGGAATATTTACATTCCTCTAATGAATTATTACAATATTTTATCATCTAATTTAGAAGATAGATCTCTTCATCAATTATTCTATTAATTCAACCTGCTAAACTATCTGAAATTCTTTCGATAAGTTCAAATTTTAAATTAAATTCTAATCATAATTTTTATCGATCCAATTTTCTTATGTTGATACATTTACCATTAAAAGAATTCTATAATTTTTTGAATGATTATCATAATGAAGAGCATGTATAGAAATATCTATTTATTTTGTTTATTAAGAATATATTTTATAATATGTATATAAACTATAATAATTTATAAATAATTTCTATTTTGTTATTTAATATTAAGCTAATATTTACGTAATAATATCAACAACTTATTAGAATAAAACACTTCATTTCATTTAATATTTTGCAGTATATTAAAGTAAATCAAAAATATTTTCGTGTACAAACAAAATTAATCTATTTTATACTCATTCTTGTTACTATTAAAAACAAAATAAATAATTCCATTTTTCAT